GCTCACTTTTATTTGGAGGTGGCCATTGCACCATTTTGTTTGGGAGTGGAAACTCCAGGGCTGTCATCATGAGCCATGACTTTCTATAGTAGGAAATCACCGAACCAGTACAAGCATGCAGCTGGTGAAATTTTGGGATTTTTGACCCAGGCAACTGTTCCAGGTTAGTGACTGGTGAAATAGCAAAGATAGGATGAAGATGACAGCCTAGGAGCTTGAGAAAATTCCCTCTGCCAGACACACATTGAGAACCATGTGTATAATGTAATAACGCATTTCATGGCATGACATGACACTTCTTCAGGGTTAGCCATGAAACGCGTTGATAACGTACAGTCTATTAATGCTTCTCAAAGTTAGATTTTGCTAAGATGACCAGCCTCATATCCCTCATTTGGAAATTAAAATTCACAGGTGCCTCTGCTAGGCAACCCTGCCCATCTCACCAACCGGTCCCAAGGCTTGCACGTAGGTCACCTGGTAGATAATGCTGGGTTATAGGTATACTTTAATGTTAGGTACGTGTTGTGTTGTGCTGTGTATTGTTCAGCATTTCAGCATTTGTCTATGGACCACCATCCAAGTGGATGGACCTTAATAACCTCATTACCACACGTGAGATCGCCCAATCACAGAGTAGATCTAGTTCCAAATTTAGGAAGACTCTCCTTTCTGGCCAACATGCAAAGGAGACTTTGCATGTCTTCCTCATATGACAGACATTGCAGATTTCTAACACCGCAAAGTGAAAAATCCGTCCGATATATCCGAATATGTACATTGAAATCAAAACAAAAAGTCAGTTACAGCTGTACATAGGTATGTAGTCTTAAAAATGAACTGAAATATATAAAGGATTTTGCTTTATTTTAGAGTAGGGTGTAATTGGTGGGCCAAATTGGATAGGTTTATATTTGTTTCCATTGTAGATGTTGAAGACTGCAGAGTAAAACTAGAACTTATTATGTTATTTAGGTCAAAAGACCTGGACTCAAAATATTGAACATGCAATAGCACAAAATGGCCACATGGTGGCACTATTGTAATAAGATAAAACATACGTAGAGAATTTGGATGAAGCCATGTAGGAAACAGGTGAATGCTTTCAATAAAATAATGCAAAGAGCAGTGATCATGTACAACATACAGTAGGCACTAGCAACCAATCAGGTGCAATTTACTGTAGTCAGATTGGTGAAAGATAAATTGTAATTGGTTGCAGCAGTGCACAGTGGGAGGAAATACAAAAAACTACAACCTTAAAGTGTATATAGAATTAGAAACCCCAACAATAAATGTTGTTACTTAGTCCCTTTTGGTTTGTTAAGTATCCCATTGAAAGTGTTTTGTTATATCTGTTCCGTAGGGACAGCCTTCTAAGAGAAATGCAGGGCAATGACAGAACAGGTCACCAGAGTTCAGGTTGTGTAGACAAATGAAATGCGAGCAATGCTTCCACGTCTTATTTTGGTGAGTGCAGAGATTCATGCCAAAATAACTTTCTATCCAGGACAAAGCAACAGAGTGCCCAAAACTACCCTTGCAGTGGGGCTCAGGGGGTTCATTATTGGCTGGGGTACCAAGAAAAATGACTTTTTGCTGACCTTATCCCTCACTTCTGCAGACCCCTTCTTCCATGCGACTGATCCCCCGAAGTGTCTCGTCTTCGGCGCTCCAGCTGTGATGTCATCATGTGCAATGCAGAACCAGCAGTCCTGCATTGTATGTGAGGACAGCAAGGGAGTGTCGGAGGGTAAAGGTAAGCACTAGCTGCTGTAGGAGTGAGGGATAAGGGCAGTAAAAGTCCTCTTCTCTGGTACCCTAGGCATAAACACGAATTTAACCCTTGCAGAGCAAGAGGAGCCACATTGCAGGGGTAGTTTGGTCAGTTGCCCCGGAATTCGGCTTTACTTTTGTCCCCCATCCTCTCACTCCTTGACCTCTCCATTCACCAACAATAACAAGACGAAGAAGCTGTGTTTGCTCCAGAACGATCTGGTTCATCTTACACAAAGCTAAAGTCTTTCTCCTTTACCCAACATGACAGCACTTGAGCCTGGTAGTTGTTCCTGGTTGATGTTCCCATGATGGGAATTGCCATGCCTTGATGTGAAGTGCTTAGGTACCAGTAAAAGAAGGCCTTACCTAACCCCCTAGTCTCCTTTTCCAGTGGTTGCAGGCACTCTGATGTCTTCAAGAACAATGCGGGATCGATAGACCTGCATTGTATGCGAGGACGCTGAGGAACCACCCAAAAAAACTGTTGTCTACAGACCTCAGTAGCCCAAGCTGAAATGAACCCACACAAGTAAATGAGTCAAAACACTGACTCCCCCCCCCACTCTCTGTCCTCTGTACAGCTCCATCTTAGGCTTTAGGCAGGATATCAATTAAAAAAGTAAAAACTTAAAAAAAATGACCCAAAACCATTACAATTATGCTTTGCCATAAAATAACTGTGTGTATGGATTTTGCAGAACTTCCAGGGGAGCTAGCTGTTTATTTTTTCCCAATTAACAGGAAGGGATAGAGCCGTATTAATAATTACCTTATGTAAGAACAACAGGACTGTTTATTTATTAAACTCTGGAGAGAATTGGAACAAAAGTGGAGTCTATAGGGAGCGAATCATGTTTTTCTTTTACTCACTGGGGAACAAGGAACCTTATTGTTCTCCACTTGCCATTTTGCTTTATATTAAAGGCCTCATTTTCTTTTTTTTTCAATTTTTTTTTTATTAAAATGTATAAGGTATACAGAACAGGGCCATAAGGGGCATATCCCCGGCCTAAAAAAGTTACAGTATCAAGAAGGCATTAGAACCTAGACATCTTAAATGCCTAAATATAAATAAAAAACAAACCAAAAAAAGTAGCAGCAAGTCAGCCCGCCCGCCCAATCCCCAACAATACCCCACATGCCTCTAAAAAGGAAATGGGAGACAGTATCTATCATTTAAATATATCCTCAGCATAGACAGGTGTATGAGTCCCTATGGCACCCGGAGGCTTGGAGCTGATTACAAAATAAGACAAATTATAATAAAAGGAATTAAGATATTGGCAGTTGAGTCGTTGTGATAGGACAGCCAGACATCCCAGATCTTGTAAAATGTATGAGCACAACCTCTAGATTCATACGTGGCTTTGTATAAAGGGCAAGCCAGAATTGATCGATGATTCCCAAAATCCTAAAGTAGGAGCGGCTGGGCCCTTCCATTTAAGAACAATAGCTTTCCTAGCATAAAACAGCAAGAGGCTAAAAAAATTCTAGCATTACGGGTTGGAATCAGCGGTTCGACCAAGCCCAAGTGACAAGTCTCCACCGTTAGGGGAAGGGCTACAGTAGTAAGTGTCAAAACAAAATCACATATCTCTCCCCAATATCCCTGCATGTGAGGGCACGACCATACTATGTGTGTAAAGTCAGCATCTATTCGCCGAGCACCTCCAACAATTGGAAGAAACCCGTGGATAAGTTCTATGAACCCTGGAAGGGAACAAATACATTCTGTGGAGCAATTTAAATTGGATAAGTCCATCTCTGGCTGAAACTAGATGTGTGAGCGGGAAAAAGCCTCATCTTCTAATGTGTGAATCTTGAAGAAAACTGAAAAGCAGGACCCAGCTTATCATAAAATTCTGTGTGTGATAATTCTGCCTGCAATTAGGCAGATGACCACTAGGTGGCAGGCACGTACAGCTAATAAAGTTTGCAGTCTGTAGGATAGAAATTAGAGGATATAAAAGAGCTGCTATAGGAAGTTATATTTCGGGGATTACATACCTTGGGGGGCGGGGGTCTAAATTACTAAATTAGGGTGGGTTGGAATGTTATCTCTAAAGGATAATGAAAAGAAAAAAGGAACTGGATTCTCTGCTTTGTTGAATATGAATCAAAGTGGATTCATGAATGTGATGTGTCAGATGTGAGTCATATTTTCAGAAGCAGCTCGACTTCAATTTCAAGTTTTCTATGCACAAAGACAATAGCCACAATCTCAATAGTTGTAGTAATATTGTGTATTTATTGATTTGCTGCTTTTATATCAATAAATATGATCAGATCCGTATGACATCCTTCTTCCGGCTCCCCTGTTCCTATAGCCATATGTGAAGGAAAACTACCACTAAAGTCATACTGGTACCTAATAGGACTGGTGATGATGATGATTTCATTGGGGACATGTTGGGCATATTGATGATTGATTTCAGTTGGGGACATATTGGGCATATTTATGATTGATTTCAATTGGGGACATATTGGGCATATTAATGATTGATTTAAATTGGGGCCATATTGGGCATATTGATGACAATTGGGGACATATTGGCCATATTGATGATTGATTTTAATTGGGGACATATTGGGCATATTTATGATTGATTTAAATTGGGGACATATTGGGCATATTGATGACAATTGGGGACATATTGGCCATATTGATGATTGATTTTAATTGGGGACATATTGGGCATATTTATGATTGATTTTAATTGGGGACATATTGGCCATATTGATGATTGATTTTAATTGGGGACATATTGGGCATATGGATGATTGATTTTAATTGGGGACATATTGGGCATATTGATGATTGATTTTAATTGGGGGCATATTGATGATTGATTTTAATTGGGGACATATTGGGCATATTTATGATTGATTTTAATTGGGAACATATTGGGCATATGGATGATTGATTGTAATTGCATATTGATGATTGATTTTAATTGGGGACATATTGGGCATATTTATGGTTGATTTTAATTGGGGACATAGTGGGCATATTGATGATTGATTTTAATTGGGAATATATTGGGCAGTCCATTGGGGGTCTGTAGCGGTAAAAGGGTTAAGAACTAGAACTAGACCCCCTGTTCTATTTGTCCTCTCTCTGATAATGTCTGGTACATTTACCAATCATCACTTTGCAGTACACTATTCACATTGGTGCATATTGGCTGGATATTCACACTGGATCAATTTGTGTTTTTCAGGGCGGAGTAAAAGTCTTAATTACGGGGCCATGGCAAGAAGCCAGCAATAACTACAGCTGCTTGTTTGACCAGATCTCAGTGCCTGCATCTCTAATACAGCCGGGTGTCCTGCGCTGCTACTGCCCAGGTAAGCCTGACCTGCGTAAGGAGTAATACAGGAGCTATATATGCCAATCAGATAGAGCATGTTTCATTTCCTGACTAGAAGACATCCATAATCATCTAGCACTTTCCTTCTCAGCATGTTAATATCTGGCCCGCCCCTTTCAGTCACTGGATTCCTGTTCTTTTAATCATTGAAGCTCAGTATCATATGTGGGCATTGCTTATGCATGCCATGTCACTCATGCAGATCCAGCCTTCCCAGGAATACCAAGTCCCCAGACTGACATCCACTCATCAATGCATTCTGATATATGTATGTATAACTCCTCCCAAGAGTCAGCCTATTGCTTGCATCAGGACTGAGGGCTCTTGGGAGAAATACCGAGGCTGGGTGGTGTGATTTTTTCTGGAAGCTTTGTACAGCACCCTGCCAGCGCCTCTAATCCAGTCATAATCTGCCTGCATTGCATAAAGAAGCACACAGACCCAGTGATGATGTCACTGTGTCTACTGTACACAATAATGTATGTAATCAGAAAAGTATTTTTAAAAATATCATGCAGGTTGATGAGAAGGAGAAAGAAGAAACCAGTGAAGGCAAAATATGAGCTGATTAAACCTCAACTTTAAATAGTCTATTCTTATGAAGGTCTGTACATTAGACCAAAATGAGGGATGGAGGAAAGAGGGTTTGGTTCCAAAGAAGGGACAGTTGCTGCAAATAGGGTGCAGCTGGGGGCTATGCATTACCAATCTCTCCTCTAAAAATGCTGTCATTCTGATCCAGTACCTTTAGGAGTTCTGCGTGCTAGTCAGTGTCTCAAAAAACTGAAGCCAGACCCAGCCAGTCAGCTAGCATGTTCAGGAGATTAGCAATGGCATGTCCTCTCTGAAATGGGGAACGATCTTCTCTTTTTGTTTGAGCTCCATAATGTGCAATAAATCATTTTATGAGCCCAGAACAAAATTCACACCAGCGTTTTATATGTGGGGGATTTCATGACTTTACCATTGAGCCAATATGTGTATACAACAGTTTATACAGTGCAGGGTGCAATATTGTATTTAGCCACATGGTGGCAGTAGATGAACAGTGTACAATTTATGGATGTGCTGGTGCCTGCTATGTGTCTCCTTGACATCTATGTAGAGCTACATTTTAACCTTTCACTATACAGCCCACCATATACAGCCCACCATATACCCACACATTCACCCCTGAAGTACCAGATACATTTTGCAGTTAAAGTGAACCCATCTCTCGACCCATCTCTCTCTCTTTACTTTCTTTCCTTCTCTCTCTCTCTCTCTCTCTCATTCTTTCCTTCTTTCTCTTTCTTTCTCTCTCTCTCTCTTTTCTTTCTTTCCTTCCTTCTTTCTCTCTCTCTGTCTCTTTCTCTTTCTTTCTCTCTTTCCTTCTCTCTCTCTCTCTCTCTTCTTTCTTTCTTTCTTTTCCCTTTCTTTCTTTCTCTCTTCCTTTCTTTCTCTCTCTCTCTCTCTCTTTCGTTCTGTCTTTTCTGGCGTCCCATAGCAGATCATAGCAGATCTTTACAGAACTATGGGGAGCGTGAAATACACTCATCTCCATAGTTAGAGCCGACGTGTGACACTGCAGCTGTCACACGTCAGCTCTGCTGATCAAGAACTAAGTGATCACATACCGCTGATTGCTCAGTTCCTGATCTTCCCCCTGAGAGTGGTGATTGTCAGTCATCGCTCCTTGCAGGGATCCCCTCCCCTCTGATCCTCCAGTGCTGACTGTAGGAACAGACAGGGTAGAGGGGATGGGCACAGCTGACTCTAGAGAGGCAGAGCCGGCTGTAAGTCAGGTAGCGGGGTGGATCCCAACAAAATTGTCAGGATCCTTCCTGGGTGCAGAATTGCTCTGCGCTGTCAGCATATAGCGAGCAATGTCCTAGAAATTGTGACTTCATATATCATCAGACGGATACACACATTGTTTACACCGGGAACTTAGAGGGCTACATTGTTGCGTCTGCAGTTTTGGAGGTGATATTGTTGTAACTTTATTCGCCAGAATCATCTCCGCATTTTTCACATACAGATCCTAATTGATATGGTAATAGGGTTGGATTGGTTATTTTTTTTTTTTTAATGTTCTACAATTTTGAGGATTTTTAAACCTCATATGGCCTTCAAGTCACTACATTAGTGCATTTCTATATATATATATATCTATCTATTTATCAATCTGTCTGTCTATCTATCTTGCTTTCTCTTTGTGAGATGATACTAAACTTACTTTTTTGGAAATAAAGAACATTTGTTCTCTTTTTAGACACCATATCACCCCGGTGGGTATGTTTGATTTATATGACAATATTTCTTGTGTTGCCATTGTACGGAAGAGCGATCACACCCATAGAAGCCTCCCAGGGAGGACACCCAGGACGGTTCTCTCCATTAGGCGATCCATTAATGGGATGGAGAGCCTGCCCCATAAATCACCATTGGGGTGGAGCAGCTGCAGCATTGTCTTTGTTTTTGTTTTTTTGAGGTTATGGTTATAGCTCGGAGGAAGCAATTATCCATGTAAAAGTGACATTAGAGCCACATTACCGCATGCAAACACAAGGAGGAAATGCTCGCAGACTTTCAGATATAAATTACTGTGCAGTCCTGCTACTGGAAAACAAAATTAATTTCATATTATGCGTATTGATTTTTCAGTGTGATGTCCAAGGAATGGAACAAGCCATCGTGTACCAAAGGCCTAAATTACAATTCCGACTTTATAAGAGACATCACACATTTACACATTAGCCGGGATGGGGGTGGTAATGTGGAAGTTGTGTTGTCATTGTCACTCGGCGAGAATGTTCAGTTGTTTTTGGGTACCATCGCCAGTCCAAGGGATGGTACGTAATTATTAGAATGAGGTCTTACAGTGAATAGCCAAGATGGGATTTTTTGGGGGAGATTTGGATGGAGTGGGAATGTGGTAGGTGTAACCTAAGGGGAATGTACAGTGTAAGGGAATGTGGATTCTCTGATCACAATGGGTGAATTGTTCATCAGATGATCTATTCTTGGGTTCGGGGTTAGGAGCACCTGGAACAAATGCTCATCTAGTTTGGTGATTCATTTAAAATCTTTATTTGTTAAGAACTTTAACTACATCCAAAGCATTTCAGGACTTAAGTGTATTGATTTGTGATTATTTCCTAATGATAATCACTAGCAAGCCTGGTTTAAGGCTAAATTGTGCTGAAATATCGGCGTATCCTTCAGACAATGAGTGTGGCCGACTGAATCCAGTTTGGGCAAGTGTGGACAAGTGTTAGAACATCTAGGAATGTCCTACTTACAATGAAAGTGTATGAGAGTATGTCCACTATCCCCCCATGTAAAAACACTAAGGGGGTTATGCACTAAGCTGCCGAAGACAGCCAAATTAATAACTGAACCGAAGTGAGCCAAAGCCTCTTCAGCTATTCACTGCAGCCCTGTATGGCTTTTTTGAGCTGCACATCGGCTGCATTCGGCTCAATTCACCTTCCTTTGGTTCGGCCGAACAGCCTCAGCACGTTCAGCTAAACAGAAGGAAAGAATCAGTTCGCCTCAGTCGATGCAACATCTGGATTGGCTGGAGGTGAACGTTCAACAGTTCCTTCTCTGATGTTCACCCTTATTCTCAAAGGGGACAAACAGCAGAGAGTGAATAGCCGAATGCTAGGCTCAGCATTCGGGTTGGTCATTCTGTTCACTACCTCAGAGGTAACAAACAGAATTAAATATGTTACTGTAAAAAAAAATGTGTCTAAATCAAAAAAGTCCTGCCATCCGCTGACGCAACCTCTACCACTGACATGACAGGTCCAGTCCAAATGTAAACAAATGGGTGAGTCGTCATGGCTCAATCCGGCCATTTATTTTCATGCAATGATAGCTCACAGTCCACAAATGGCATGAAAACAAATGGGCCGCGCGATATGTATAGTTAAAGCACAGCTAGAGGGCTGGAGTTGCCCACCGCTGGGCTAGATGGAGATAAAAAAGAAGTTTTGCTTGGAGTTACACTTTAAAGCAGTTGTTCTCAACCTGTGTAACCTCAGGACCCACATTTGTCCTCGATCATTAAGTCGCGACCCAAGTCGCACTGCAATGGAACGCACGGCAGTGTGGGCTGCTGTGCTGTGATGGAGCTCCATCCATATGTGCATTGCTTGTGCAGCTCACATGTGCGCCTGTAGAGGTGCGGGAGCCAGAATGTGATGTCACTCCAATCCAGGCGCCTCTACAGGACATGCAAGGGAGCTATAAGCAATGCATGTATGGATGGAGCTCCTTCGCGGCCATACCCCCAGCCCACTCCACCTCAAGTCAACACTCGGTGCTGGGCAGCATATTTTGAATGGCTGCTCGGTGTAAGAATGGACAGTGCTGCGCTAGGTGGGGCTAGGGGGAGGCTGAGGAGCCTCTCACCTAGAAAAGTGTAAGGCATGCGGCAACCCACTGAACACAGGGTCACGACCCACTTTTGGGTCACGACCCACCAGTTGAGAACCAGGCCTTTAAAGCATGTATTGAAGGGTTTTGTAACTATCTCCCCCCTCCATAAAATGCTTCATGCTCCAACCCTGTCCTCCATGTCTTCCTCCTTCCTACGCCAGTTTTTGTCTTCTAAATTTAATGACTCCCAACATCATTCATCCCAAGTCCAGTGAGCCCTGGCTGTCATGGACACGCCCCATGGGGGTGTGTCACCATACAGTCTTGACTCACAAGAGAATACTGCAGAAAGGGGCCCTAACTTCACCATATGAACACTGTTCTGTACAGCATTTAGGACCACTTACTCCTGATGTTGTAATACATGAGGAAAGAAGGAGCGGCTGCCCAACATTGGTGTTAAAACCTTTAAAGAGACCTTCAGTTCCAGAATAAGGATTTTAAACACAGATCCTAATGGGAGTGCTGACTTTAAACAAGCAGCTAGCAGGCTTTCAACAAAGTGCATGTAATGATAAAGCCTTATGACGACTCCTAGCAACTTGTTTAAAGTGACAGTTGGCCCTCCAGCTTACATTCTGTGCTTAATTTCCCCAATTGGTGCTGAAGGGGGCTTTAAAGTCTAGGCTAAGGATTACCACCTCTGTGTGTGTTCTCCTCCCACCTGGGGCACCTTCTGCATGTATATACATGCCTTTGTTTCCAGGGCTAAGCCTGGTAAATTGACATGGCTTCCTCGCCCTGTTTTTCCTGAATGCTGCAGAGAGTGGGTCACATGCATAGTGCTGCTCTCTGCAGTATTCTCCTGAGAGACAAGGGCGAGAGGCGGAGCCTTGACACCCTGGGCTCATAGGAAGTGGGTTGACTGAGCATTTTTCCCCAGATAGTCCTGGGCTGAAAAGTGCAACTCATGGCCAAGGCCTCAAAGTCACACACATGACAGACACCTTAAAAAAAAAAATGTACCTACTCAGCATATCAGTTAGGAAAAAAACTGCACCCATGAACCAACAGTAGGCTTTCTTCCTTTATAAATCAGTGATTTGATGGCAAAGATGCGCCCACTCTGCATTTACATTGTTTCCAGTGTATTTATTACCTGACAATGCAGTACAGCAAAGCCTATCCCACAATGCCTTGTTGTCTGCGCAACTACTGTTCGTTTTTGCTGTTTCAGTAAATATCACTTTTGAATACATTTCCAGGCCAAACGCAGAGGAAAAGACTTCTGTTTAGTAAACTGCTTGCTTTTATTTTCCTGAGCTAATGTGAGGAAACACAATCTGACATATTGCCAATCGTAAATTGCTAATGTGTCTGAAGTCCCCACTTACTTGGGGAGTTTTAGGCTTTTAGGTTAGCCGTCAGAGCCGTACAGGAAGGGACATTTTCCGTCATATTGCTAATAGAAGCTCATTAAATATCAATATCATTAGTGGAAAACTAAACCTTGTATTTATGATAGATGTACCTGAAGATTTCTGTGCATTTGATTGCATTTTAAAGAGAGAGGTTGGCGCACCGGATCTGCATTGTTTTCATTCTGTAGCAGCTGCATTGCATTATGTGACCAAAGCATGCAGAGATGATAAAAAAAAAAACAATTTAAAATACAGTCCATATAAGATGAGTCTTTCTAGTTTTATTCCTTTATTTAAAAAAAAAAACCAACCACACACACACACTATATTACCAAAAGTATTGGGACGCCTTTACACGCACATGAACTCTAAAAGAGAGAGGGGCGCACCGGATCTGCATTGTTTTCATTCTGTAGCAGCTGCATTGCATTATGTGACCAAAGCATGCAGAGATGATAAAAAAAAAAAACAATTCAAACTACAGTCCATATAAGATGAGTCTTTCTAGTTTTATTCCTTTATTTAAAAAAAAAAACCAACCACACACACACACTATATTACCAAAAGTATTGGGACGCCTTTACACGCACATGAACTCTAATGGCATCCCAGTCTTAGTCCGTAGGGCTCAGTATTGAGTTGGCCCGCCCTTTGCAGCTTTAACAGCTTCAACTGCTCTGGGAAGGTGTCCACAAGGAGTGGGTCTATGGGAATGTTTGACCATTCTCCCAGAAGAACATTTGTCAGGTCAGGTACTGATGTTGGACGAGAAGGCCGGGCTCACAGTCTCCGCTCTAATTCATCCCAAAGGTGTTCTATCGGGTTGAGGTCAGGACTCTTTACACCACGGCATCCGACGCATTGCACTTGGTGATGTAAGGCTTGAATGCAGCTGCTGGGCCATGGAAACCCATTTCATGAAGCTCTCTACGCACTGTTGTTGTGCCAATCTGAAGGCCACACGAAGTTTGGAGGTCTGTAGCTATTGACTCTGCAGACAGTTGGCGACTTTTGCGCACTGTGCACTTTAGCATGCGCTGACCCCGCTCTGTCATTTTACGTGGCCTACCACTTCCTGGCTGAGTTGCTGTTGTTCCCAGTTGCTTCCACTTTGTTATCATACCAGTAACAGGTGACCACAGAATATTTAGTAGCAAGGAGATTTCACTGAACACCTGAATCCAATGATTTGGAGGGGTGTCCCAATACTTTTGGTAATATAGTGTATATATATATCTATATATATATAGATATATATAGATATGTATATCTATATATATCTATATATATATAAATATACAAGATGCCCATAGGATGTATTTCCTTAATGCACTAACATAATTTCGATCAGCCCTGTGAATATGCACTCAGTGTCACCACTCTCAGAGCCTACTGTATGAACATGGTAACATTATCATTGCTTGCTGGAAGCAATGCATTCTGGGATATGTAGTCTTGAGAACTCAAGATTGTATCACATCAAGCAGCAGGGAAAGGTATGCAAAGCACACTGGGACTCCAGGAAGTTGATTGAGTGTGATGGGCAGTTGGAAGTCAGTGCTCACTACATGAAAGGGATTTTTTCAAGTAAGTTTTGATTGCATTATCAAAAACAATTATAGTATGTATCCCCAGGGGTGTCCCTAGCCATTTGACCACCTGAGGTGGGTGGGTGCTGGTGGTGCACACTAATGTGGGAGCTGGGGGAGATCCTCTGTATCATCTCCCTGCCCGGCTCTGGCTGGCATCGTGCCAGCCATCCTGGGATGCCGGCCAGAGCATAAAAGGTTGCTAAGAGCTGGGCGGGGAGATGTGTATGGTCCTTACAAATCTCCCCGCCCAGCTCTTAGCAGCCTGGGACACTCCAGGCCTGAAAGGGGTTGGCAGGCACACGGTAAATATTGTGCAGCAGAGTAGCCATGCCCCTCTGTCTGCCGCTCCCCCACTTGACCCAAAGAGATGCCGCCTGAGGCAACAGCATTACTATAGGGAAGGCTTGGTGTATTCCTGTTAGCATATGCCGGGACTTTACAACTCCTTTAACCTTTAGAATCACAAAGTGCCAATATTCATATCAGCAACCATGGTTTAGAAATAGGATGTGCAACAAACTCATATAGGTATGGTGGGCCGCTCTCCACACACCTTATAGGCCATGTAGTGTATTTGGGATTAGGGAGCAGCAAGGAACATAGAAGGGGGTGTGGAATAACCAAAGTGTTTTTTGTGTATATGCTTTTGAAGAAACTGGATAGATCCATCCAACGTGACCTGGCCACAATCCAGATCTCCAAATCATATTGTCCACATTCATTTTTTATAAACCACTCAATCCTCATCAGCAGCAATCCAAAATGGGTATTAATATTTCTGCATAAACTCATTTGCTTTTTAAGAAAGTACTGGAACATTTAGTGGTGGTAATAGTGGTTGTAAATCTCAGGGCAGAAGGATGAAAATGCTATTTTTACATTAGTAGAATAAATTATGGATGGTAATTACGTGTTCATCGTAGCTAAGGATGGAACAAACAACACAAGTACCATCTCACATCACGACATTCAGCCGAGATATATGGTGCCCCGAATGCAGCTATATTGCTGCACCAGCCATAAGGCCCAGAGACTAAGGAATCTGCCATCCGCGCCACGGATAATGCCTCGTAAAACAACTCCATCTGGCGAGAGAGAGATTGATTAAAGTCTGACTCCACCTTTTCCCACATTTTCAACCTGTGACATCATCTCTGTCTGTTACTGAAGAGTAAATCTTGTCAATTTTGGCCTACTGGTGATTCGGACGCTGAGATTTGCCTTGCCTGGGGGATATTTGCAATTTTGCATGGAATATATTCAACTAGGAAAGGGGTCTGTTGGAGGTTACTCAGGGTATTGCATATCATGGAGCAGCTTCATCCCTCCCTACTGTAGGAAGCCTAAATGGCGGGCTGCAGAAGTGAAGTGGTAGGGGATCCTTTAGACCCCTTTAATAGTTGAATTGGTGAAGAGCCGATGCAAAGAATCTACAGATTTGCAGGCTGTAGATTGTCTCCGTCCAATATGCTATGCAGTCAAGTATTATATACATTGTAAAGTAATGTAATGTTGTAATCACCCACCTACCTGCAGCTAACAAGGCTATATACATTGCTTTGTAAATCTCTATGTTGGTTGGGTTGGGTTGCTCTTTAAATGACAAGCTGTATCTCTTCCTGTCTTGCAGCACATGACACCGGGCTGGTCACTCTTCAGGTTGCCTTCAACAACCAGATCATCTCCAATTCTGTGGTGTTTGAGTATAAGGCCAGAGCTCTTCCGACACTGCCTTCCTCCCAGCATGACTGGCTCTCCCTGGACGGTAAGTGCCCGATCTTCCTGACAGCGTTTCCAACCAGTGGCTTGGATCATCTCTGTGGCTCGCAGCTCTCTCTGATGTTTTAGGGCCAGCTTCCCTACAGAAAACCTGGCCATGCTTACCTGGAGTTATTCCACATGATTCATTCCTGACAAGGATATACTGTATATGCCATTTTACTCCTTAAACCTTGTGCTCAGTTAATTGTTTTAAATAAAAGCTGGACACATTCCTAAATGGACAATATAACTGGATATTAACATTTATAAGTAATAACACCAGAAATTGTTGATCCAGGAAATACCTGATAGCCTTAGGGGATCAGGAAGGATTTTTTTTTTCCTGTTGGAGCTAATTGGACCATGCTTGATAGGATTTTTTAGCCTTCAACAGTGTGTAACTGTAGATAAAAGGTTTTGTATATACGTTTTTTTCCAGCTTATTTTAACGGTTGAACTTGATTAATGGACTTTTTTCAACTTAATTAAACACGCAAACCTGTGGTGCTTTAGAAAATGCCATCGGACATCTAATTAACATTCTCCATTCTAATGCAGAGCTATAGGTCTAACTTAACATGGATCATGTAAAGGTTCGACTTCTACAGAGAGACCACTTCGCTGGGTGTGCCTGGGCAGGGGCTTCCTGAGGCAGGGTGTCACCCAAGGTGGGTACTGGGTGACACCCCGCCATGATGTTTTTGAACATGCGTGTGACGTCCCAACGCACGTGAGACATCATCGCACACGTGCATGATGACATCACGCGATGTTACCTGCTGGCTGCCATCTTGGTGATGGACGCCGGCAGAGAGAGGAGGGGACGTTCACCTGGCAGGATAAAGTATGCTGCCGGGTCCCCTCCTCTCTCATGCAACTGTCGGCCTCTTGGTCCATGACCAAGTACCCGACTTTTCAGAGGGGGTAGCACCAAAACAACTGTCAGTCATTTTGTTGTCACCCCTCCAATGGTGTCACCCGGGTGCGGGGGCCGCACCCCCTTGGTGATACCCCTGTGCCTGGGTACACCCTAAGCACCCTGAGCACAACACCTAAACCGCAATAACGGGCATCATGTTTTTAGTCACTGAGCCAGTGAAGAGATCACAAAGAGCTCTCTGTGACTGGATCAGTGATACAGAGCGCAGCAGCACTTGCCACTTACATTCCTCACATAACAGCTGCAGTCCTCAGTGCCTGGGAAGCTGCGAGGGAGCGTGGCTGCAGCTTCCCAGGCTTCCCATCCAATCAGAAAGCCAGGCGGGTGGTCACATGACCACCTGCCACACTCCCTGCTTCATTAGTGCACACCTGCTGGAATAGGTAAGGGACAGTTGAAGAGATGGGAATCCAGAATGCCTCAGGTCTGTGTATGTATGTATTATTTATATATGTTATATATACTGGGGGGGGTAGTACTTTTGTGTGGCCACCCTATTGCAATAGGCTTCACGCGCCTATGGCAAGGGTCCTTCCCTGCAACATGTTGGCAGGGAAGAGGCATTTCTACTCAGGTCTGTGGCTGCTTTCTCAATAAAACAAACTGTAAGGCTTTGCACACCCATCATTTTTGGTGCACATTGAATGCATTTAGATGATTTAAACAGAAAATTCAGTTGTTATTATTATTATTATTAAACAGGATTTATATAGCACCAACAGTTTGCGCAGCGCTTTACAATATAAGGAAGACATTACAATCACAATACAATTCAAGACAAGATGGTAAGGAGGGCCCTGCCCCTGAGGGCTTACAATCTAAAAGTAAGAGTTGTTCTCTAAGTCTCCAGCAACTACCAACAAAATTAAATATCAGCATTGTGTGAATTCTTTAAGTATAAATGATCTCCACTCTCTCCCGGTGTTACTATCCATTTAAACTGACGTCAGAACAGGCCCGCGGCATTTGCCTTGCAGCGCTGCGCTCTTCCTGCCTATAATGAATCATCCGCCTTAACAGCTTATATTGTATCGGTACAAAGTTATCAGTCACAATTAACACACAGCGTGGCAGGAGAGGTAGCGTCTGCTAGAGAGCAGAGCTTGTACAGAGCTCCATAATGAATCGCACAGCCCGTCAGTGTTCTTGTAAAGTAACTGACAAGTTTTTGGTCAGCCTTCTATGACACGAGTAGACTGGGAGCCGCTTTGTATTTATTTTTTAAGATCTGGCAGTTGACTGAATTTTGATTACATTTGAGGCTCTGGAATTGTTGGGGGCAGTGTGTGAAAGATTACCTTTCCCCGCAAGGTGCCTATGAGTATTACTAATCAGAAGGGTTTTCTGAGTGCCTGGGGAGCTCCCTGATCTGGGGAACAGGCCTTGTGCCACCCCACAATACACTGAAGGTGCTGCTCTGTGGTAGTAAGGCAGTATGAATTGTGCCTCAGGTCAAAACTATTTTATAGCTTTGGGTGGAGTTTTGAAGGGTTAGAATTGCTGTCATATTTTTATTGCTGTAAAGTGGTAGACGTGTGGGTCATCAGAGTTTAAATATGTAGCACTCCTCCTTTCTGGGCAGAGTAGAATTACCCTCAAGTTGGTATGACAGGCTAGCCAAGGTCTTATGGTAACAAAGAAAGTTAAGCACCAGTCAATTTAGTCTTTTTATGGTTTATTTGCTCAACAAACTCTAGAGAGAGGGTTAGGGACATAGGATACATAAAAATACCAAAATGTCAAAGTTCTTCTAGTAGCAGGTAGGGTTGTTGGTAGACCTTTAATAGCAGTCTCCTTCTAGTAATTGGCTCAAATAGGTTGCAGTGACTCTATGAGAGTAGTCACTCTCTGTTATTAAAGGTCAAATGGTCTTCCTTGTTTTTAAAATCGTAGGTCCTTGACCCTATGTGCCAGTTCCTAGTACCTTCAAATGCTGAGCAGTGGAATTTAATTTCCATGCACTCTCCAATGGCAGCAGCTTCTCCTAAACTCTTCAGGACACAGGATAGAAGGCTTCTCCTCAAATGCAACCACCATCCTACTCTTGCTACTTCCGAATGTTCCCTCCAACAAGTTTGCTTTGATTTCCTAGACCTTTAGCACAGGCCCTCAGCTGAGGCAAGGCCCTATAAAGACACCTCTTTATGGTTGCCCCAGCCCCTGCCTGTGGACCAAAACCCTCAGTGATTGGCTAAGGTAGATAAATATTCATAACTTATACATTGTTACCTTGCTCATCAACAACTGGAGACAACTTAACAGCAACAGGTAGTAATAATAATTAATGTGTTGAGCTTAGGAGAAACCTACAGAATGCAGAAAATGTAAGCAAAGCTCAGTGTGGTTACAGTTCAGCTGCAAAACCACAATATATTTAACTAGGGACACTCCAATTTAAGGCCGGGTTCCTTCAAATGATTCCTCTGATATAGAGGAGTTCCATTTAGGAGGACACGCACTTTAAGATATTTCAAATGTAGCATTAAAGATGATAGAAGAAAACACCAAAAGAAGACATGCAGAGTCAAGAATATATATTACATATTCACTAAAAACAGGTAGCACATTCCTGAGCCTCTCTTCACCAGAGCTTAGTATATACTATAGGAGAAGTAGTCTGAACAGGAAGCTTTGTATTGCTCTTTGTGTACTTGTTAAGGAGAGGTAACCCCTTTATTTGTCTTGGTGACCATCGCCACCTTGACAGAAAGTGACGGGAAATCCAAAATTTTAGAACAAAGCAGAAATAGGCAGAAAATCATCCAATGGGGATGCTTGTTCCTATGATTTTCCTACGATTTTCATATTTCCTGTTGTGTCTCCAGGACAGCAATTGAGAGGAAATCTGCCCAACAGCATAGAGATAGCTCATTGTTGTCCTCTGGATGACTCACTTCTTTTTTGAGCAGTAATATTCTTATACTGTATTTTTATCAGTAGAAAGGCCAGTAGATGTAAATGTCATCTGTGCACCCAATGAGTTCTCTGTCCTTCAGGATTAGACTTTAAAATGTATCTATTATCCTGGATTGAGGAAGGGTTAGAAGCTTTAAACAGAGCCAAGAATGTCACAGGCACCAGAATTTACATGATTGTGTCATCTCTGAGCTGCCATCTCAGTTCAGGAAGGACTGTAGTAGCTGGGTTTACTCTCACTGCTGCCCCAAGGCCAGGTTCCTCAATGCGCCCCCCCTCCCCCCCCCATCCGCCCACTTGTACATAACTCTTGGTGGCTTGTACATTTAGCTCTGCGTGCCCAAAGCAGGGCTAAATGTAGAAAACAACTACCCGCCCAGCGTCCAGAACTGCATTTTCCGGACAACTGGAAATAGAAATTCCACACCCCTGCTGCCCCTCTACTCTCTGCTGCCCCAAGGCCGGGCCTTGGTTGGCCTTGTGGGAAATCTAGTCCTGACTATACATAGTGATCCGTAGATCTGTGGTTCTCAACCTTACCAGGGCTCGGTAATTTTTTACATGCCCCAACAGTAAAAACAAGTTTATACTCATACAATAAAAGCGTGGGAGTGCAAAATGGGTTTTTAAATGTATTAAAAAGGGAGTAATAAGTCATGGCCCCCAGGGGAGAATAGGCCCTCAAATCATTGGTGTCATTGGGCTAGGGGCCCCCCGGGAGAGAATAGCTCCTCAATGAATTGGTGTCAGTGGGATACTGCCCCCCAGGGAAGAATAGCCAACATCACCAGCCACACTACTGCACTTACTCCACTTATTTCCCATCTCTTCAGTATGCTTCCAGTCTCCCACCAAAGCTATCTGATGCCAGATCCACTTTAATGTCTGTGGAGTTGCATGCTTCCAGACAGAGTTCCCTGGTTATGTTTTGTTGGGATCGTAGCTTTGCTATATACGTTCTCGCTGAGCTGTGTAAATGGGAGCCAGCTGCCTTCGCTTCCTCTCTATATCTTCAAGACAAATGCCCCGTATCTTGGCAATATTTTCTCATCTGTCCTCTAGATGAACACTGATTTCACTTTCTAAATGAAGTCGTTGGGTTCTTTCTTTATTGCAGCAGTTCTCCTTTCTTGTCCTCTTCTTCCAAA